CTCTGGGTAATACACAAGAGTTACACTTCATGAAAATGTGTTGTCAGGCTTTTTGTTTTCTGCTTTATAAATGTTCCATTTTTTTCTTTATTCATATTCAGGGAATCTTCAGTTAGGCCCCCCAGCCACCACAAGTATCCCTGCTGCAGGCATGTGGGGAGCCGCCCCTGCTGCACCCAACATGTTCTCCATGCCAGGAGTGACAGTTCCAGGCCCCAGGCCCGCCTACCCACAGCCATCAGCCTTTGGTGGTCTACCCATACCACCGACAGCTTGGGGCCACCAGATGCCGCCGCAGTTTAGCCCCCCGCCTCTCTCTCCGCCCCACCTCGCTTGGGGTCAGCCCGCCATGACCAGTCCTTTCCCACCTGGTATGTACCCAGGAATGGGTGACCAGCAGGGTCCTTCACGCCCCCCTCCAAGGCCACCTGCCAAGGAGGCCGCTCCAAAAGTAGAGAACACTGCCTTCACAGCTTTGGATCCCCTTGGAGATAAAGAGAAGAAGATTGGAAAGGACATGTTCAAGGACTTCCAGCTTGCCAAACCACCTGCCATCCCAGCAAGGAAAGGGGAGCTTGCGGCCAGCTCTGCTCCAGCCCCCAGCAGCAAAGAGGCGGGGGCCTTCGATCAGTACTTTTCCAGTAAAGTGGGCATGGCTCAGGATGCTGCAGATCACGATGACTTCGATATCAAGCAGATGTCATCACTTGCTAATGGTAACCTAGCTGCAGCATTGTCTGCATTCATGATTTTGCAAGATAATGTGCATATGATGATGACACTAATTGAGTCCTGTGTTGTTGTGTTCATGTTTAGATGCGCCTAAAGCAGCTCCTGCTCCAGCTGCTGCTCCAAACTTTAGCACCGGCCTCCTCGATGCTGCCTTCTCTTCTGCTCCCGTCTCAAACAACTCAGCACCATCCCAGGGACAAGGCCTCAATCAGGACATGTTTGATCAAGCCTTTGGGGCACCAGAGTCCAGTCCATTTGGAGTCCCACCTGTAGCTGTGGTACAGAGATTTACTTATACACACATTTTGCCACAATATTACAACCACAGACCTCTTGAATACCACATTGACCCTCTTTAACTGAACGTTTTATTCTTAATCTTATGGCAGAATGCTTCTGTCGGCCAGAGCTCTGGTTCAACAGCTGCCTTTGGGGATGCTTTTGGAAATCCCTTCGCTTGACTACAGCTTTGTCCATAAGTGAGTATGTGTTCATGTAGATTATTCATTAACTTGTTTCACCTCTTGAGGATAAAGACTGACAGCTTTCCTCTTGTGTCCTCACAGTTGAAATGGAGTAAAAGGAGCAAAAGGGAGATCTTCACTTCAAATACCACCTTTGGGACGACCTGCTCTGTGCGAGACAATCCAAATGATGAACTTTTCTTATTCCTGTCCCTGAACTATCCCCTCTCCCCCTTTCTTTTTTTTTTTTAACACCCCCACTTCTCATGGTGTGTTTTTTTTCTTTTCAATCAGTAGTTCTCTTATTCCTGAAGACCACTGATCCAAGAAGTAAATGTTATGTCATGATCTGCTGAAGAAAGAAATGTTCTGTGTAAGAGAAGACATGTCCAAAAGAGGTTCACTGCTGATGCTGTCTTTGTTAAAGAAATAAAATAAATCAACCATAACCCTGCAAGGTGTTGACAATCAGTCTCTGTAGTTTCAACCTGTTTTCATTTGGCATTTGTTTGCATTCAGTAGATGCTTCTTTTGCAATGTTAATTACAGGGAGTCTATCAAAATCATTAAGTATTCATTTCCCACATCTTTTGTGAACACCTAGCTTTAGCCCTAAAAGTTGCTTTTTACATGACTGTCTGTCAGTAATAGTATCTTATAATTACTAAGATACAGATGTTATAATTAGATTTCAAGACTCTGAACGTAGCGATCCTAGCTCAGATCTAAGGACTGTGTTTTTCCTAAGCAAGTTGCATTCACTTACATGTGCATCTTTCGTATTCCATCCATCTATCATCTCCACACCTTAATCCTCACTAGGGTCATGGGGGGGCTGGAGCCTATCCAAGCTGACTGAAGGCAGGGGACACCCTGGACAGGTCGCCAGTCTATCACAGGGCTACACTTAGAGACAGACAACCAAGCACACTCACATTCACACCTACAGACAATTTAGAATCACTAATTAACCTCAACATGTTTTTGGACTTGTGGGAGCAAGCTGGAGAACCCAGAGAGAACCCACGCTGCACGGGGTGAACATGGGGACTCCATGCAGAAAGATCCCGGTGCCCCCACCGGGACACAAACCGGCGACCTTCTTGCTGCGAGGTAACAGTGCTACCAACTGCGCCACCTTGCAGCCCATCTTTGGTATTCCACAAATATATTAACTTAAATTTCTCCATTCAGGGTCCAGAATGACCCTAACATGCATGGTATAAGGTTGGTGTATTGGCTCCCCCACCCCCAAAACAACTAAGTAGATTATTTTTAAAACAACCTTTAATGGAAACAATACCCAGGTGACCGAGCAGACACACACAAACCAGGCAGATGTAACAAATGTTGTATTCAAAAACAAAAAAAGCAGGAAGCACAAAGGATTTCCGTTAATAAGTGAATGCCGTATAGGTAAAGTTGAGAAAGTTAGTCATTAAAAGCTGCTTCTTCACAAGATCTAGCATCCAGTCACTGGTATTATAAGCTATTATAAGCTATATATCTCGCATGTATTGTGAACTACATTGTGTATTTGTATGGCTTTGTGTGACAAAGCTAGCTAAATGTTCAGAGGTTCCATGGTGTAATGGTCAGCACTCTGGACTTTGAATCCAGTGATCCGAGTTCAAATCTCGGTGGAACCTGCGTTCTAAAATTAATACGTTTAAAAAGTACATGCTGAGTTGCTTTGGGGGAAATCCACGACATTATATCACAGAATAACTGCACATTCGGTACATTTCTGCCACATGGTGGCCAAATGGTGTCATGACTGTACCAGGTCAATGGTACTGTGTCCTGAACACGACTAGGTGTCCTCTTTACTTGTTTCTCAAGTACATGAGTAGATCAAACGAAGTGAAGCTGAAGAACTCTGATTCTGAATTTGTTCATTGCTTTGACGACCAAAGAACAAACAGAATGCAATGAAAGAACAAAAACCTCTGGGTAGCCTAATTCTACTATCCTTACAGTTGATAGTTTTAAACCCTCCTACACTATTAATCTTAAACTCTGGATAATGTTATTTTATTTTTTATTCTTCACATCCTGTGTTACAAATAGCATTAAAACACTATACAGTTAAGCACCGAGGTTTTTTTTTTTTTTATTTATTTTTTTTATGGCTGTCCAAACAGTCCTTTAGGCTATGGAAAGATACACACCGATATAATTTATTTATGAGTATATTTTTTCCTTCGTTCTTTCTTCTTTTCTTCCTTTGCTCACAGTGTGTAAAACTGCTTCTGTTTACAGGACCGATCACTCAAAAGGCACGATCGTTTCAGGAGCGTTCGAACCCAGGAATTCATTTGGTGTCTCCCACTTTCTCTCTGTCAGTGAACGCAGCATGTCAAGTAGACTGATCACCCGCCTTCACGGTGCGAGAGACGACAAACTCTGAGCAGGCATACCGTCCGGCACAGGGTCAATCAAGTATGTTAGTCGTGCTTAGTATTAAATTTAACCCCCATGAAAGTGATTAATTGCATGATTCGGGAAATTTCTGATAGTTTTCCGTTCTGTCAGGCGGTTCCATGGTGTAATGGTTAGCACTCTGGACTCTGAATCCAGCGATCCGAGTTCAAATCTCGGTGGGACCTGATTTTGGAAAGTGTGAAATTGAACATAAATTATCTCTGAAACGCTGTTTATCCTCGTAGACTGAATGATGGTTCTGTGGGTGTTGATAAATGACCAGTTGACTCCTCGTTAGGAACCATTAAAGTACTACTGAATGTCCATGTCGACTACACATTAACAGGATAAACAATTAAAAAACACGTGGACTGTTCAAGTCCTGGGGAAAAACAAACAAAAAAACCCCAAACTATATACATATACTGTCTATTTTGTATTGAATGTACACATATCAAATATATAGCACATATAAAACAAAACAAACGAAAACAGCTTATAATTGGCATTTAAAAATTACTTTAACAGGTTTAAATAATATTAGAGTTAAGACCCTGTAGTGGTATTTATGGAGTCATTTTGACTGAATAGTTGTATAAAAGGGATTACAATCCAAAAGGTTATACAAAATACTGCTTTATCTGAACATAACACATAACAAGGCTGAGACCCTCCAGTGTTATTAATTATGGAGAATAACTTTAACTAATAGAATAATAAAGCTGAGACATTTTGTATTTTCAGTTATGGAGATAAACCTAACTGAGGTATTAAGACTAAGACCTTGCAGCTTTGGCATTTATAGAGATTAACCAGACTAAAATTTTACTTTATGTTTTTTGCCTCACAAAAATGTCCATGAAAATTCCAACAAATCCAAGGATTCCCTGGATCTCTGTTTTTATTTTATGTGGATTGTTTTGTGTGTGTTTTTTTGTAGCACTTTATATTATTTTCATTGTTTTGTTCGTCTTAATTTTATTATTTCATTAATCATTAAGCAGTTTTAAATTGGTACAAATGACAGGTAATTACTACAGGAATATTCTTCAGATTGTTTGTCTTTTTTGAAATGAAATGTTACAGGTTGTCTGCAAAATTGCCTGCTAACTTCATTTGAAGTTAAAGCTTGCTACATTAAAGTAGTTTAAAGCCTAAATTTACTAGAAATTACTTATAATATTACTTTGATTCACATTTTGTTGTAAGTCCGTTTCGCCACTAATGCCTTTGGTGGTTACGCCTATTACAAAACGATTTCTAGAGTAACCAGGCCAATATTACCGCCAACCTGTACGATCTTGCCTCAGCCACCGCTTTGTGGTGACGTGACTACATTTCCCACAATCCCTCTGCCTCTGACAATATCACGTCATTAAAAAACATGGCGGATTAGTGTGTGTGCATGGAGTCCGCTACTCGCCACTCCTCGTCGATTAATGAAAGCCTATATCTCACAAAAACCGGCATATTCTTCAACAGGTACGTTGTTAAAAACATATTAAAACGTACCGACGCAGTTAAATGATAAATGTAGTTTCTTCAGCTTCGCAGCATCAATAACAGACGGTCCAACTCAGCGAGAGTCTCACACTTGAAGTGTTGTCAAGCGAGTTGTAGCCCAGCTTTGTGCACTTTTCTGACTGGTTTCGTCCATTTTTGACACAGGTTTCGGTTGATTTACACTCGTTTTGTTTAGCTCCTGTAACTGCAGGTGGTGTTTTCACGTGAGTTTGTGATTCACGGTGACACTAAACGGCCTCTCGCCTGTCAACGTCGCTGGCCGCCACAAAACCAAACAGCTGAGGTCTGAACAGCAGCAGGTCTCAGATAAGATAATTCAATTAATGCCACAGAAGCAGGACGGTTCAGTTTAATTGGTAGACACTTTCCTTATTGCAGCAGAACGAAGCCTGTTTTACCTACACGTACTGTGTTATGATACCATTAATTCCTCTTCTTCAGGTGCTCAATTCGGTTTTTAATTTACAAATCTCTGAAAATCTCACATAAAATGCAAAATGAACGTATCTGTGTCAGAACATTACAAACAGCCTTTTGCTATTAAACAGTATCTGAATCTCATTTAAACAGATGGTACGGCGGCCATCCCCTTATTTAAAATGACATTAAGAATGATTTACAAGCTTTTTGCTGTAAAATAAAATTGCATCATGTAATCAAGAGTCTGAGGTGGCGCTACAGTAAATCTTTCATTTATACAAGACTAATGGATCATTATGACAAGATTTCAAGACATCTGTTTAGTTTTGTATGTTCTTTGTTATACCACAGTTAGTTTA